TATCAACTCACAGATATAGTCCAAATCTTTTCTGATCCAATAAGGCCCTGGTTTTCTTCTTGGACGGGGGTGGGTTTGGTTGAGCTAAGATTGGGCCTATCTGTAAGGTGGGCTTTCTATGTAATGGATTCCAAAAGAGCCTACTTCCAAAATTTCATTCTCGGGCCCAATTGTGAATTAAGCTTTTGTTCAAAAGAAAACTTAAGTACCAATAATTGATGAGGGTTAGGTCTAGGCCAGCAGAATAAGATAATTCCTCACAGCTTGTTTGAATTCTTATTAAAAAAAATATCCACATTCAGTGCCTGACAGTGTACATGGCAAAAAGAAAAAGGGAAGAAAACTTGGTATCAGTATGCTTAGGTCTAATGAAAAAAGTAATTTTTTGATGAACTAACATTCAGTGTCTGACCTTGTAACTTCAAATATGTAATACCCTTTAAACCAAGTTGTAAGTTTGAGCCTTGTAAATAAAAAGCCAAAGCTTTCTCTTGTCAATCAAAGACGAAAAACCTTATTGCAGCCCCCCCCCAAAAAAAAAACAATGAAAGAGAAAAATTATTACACCCATTTGTTGCTTCCATTGTTGGCGTCAAATGGCAATCAGTTGCAGAAAATTTTGACTTGACTTCGGCCTCCCATGCTTTTTAATAACTGAGGAATGATCACTTCTGAATCCCCCAAAAAAAAGGACCTCAGAAAGTTTGAGAACCGAGAAGATATATTTTTATTCCCATTCGAATCCTCAAACATACCCATACTACCTCATCCAATCAATTATTCTATTCCCTTTTTAATTCTCAATCATTTATATTCCCATGAAAATATTTCATGAACTAAACGGCCCCAGGTTCCATCAAAAACAACAACTCCGACAGAAATGAATGGTATTGAATTTTTCACAACAGAAATAATATGCAGTAGAGCAGAGCAGAGAGAAAGCCAACGTCACATTAAAAGATTGATACACAAAAAGAGTTATATCTTCTGAGAGACGACTTCAACATGATTCATCATTCCCCTTCAAACCCATTCTGCATTTATAAAACCCCTAAAACAGTCAAACCACACCACACCCTCATATATGAACAAAAGAAACAGTCAACTTCAGCTTAACCAGCCTCACACGTAGACGAATCTATCAGTGTTTGAATTGATAGGACTATATAATCATATATATATATATTGTTGTTGGTGGGATTATTGATGATATGACTATATTTTAGTGTATTGGACTCCATATATAACTGCTACAATATTTTAATTTTGGCTTTGTTTTGTGTACATGATAATATAATGCTCAATCAACTAGCTAGGGTAGATCTTCTATTTCAGTAGTTTTCACTAATAAGAAAATGTACAAACCGGCATATCTTTTGCCCTTTCATCAGTTTTCTTAAACATACTAAATCTACATTCATGGAGGAACATGAACGAGGTTGGGCACCGTTTACTATAACTTTAATTAATACTACCTCTGGTTCTAATTATAAAACTCCATTTATAGTATTAGGACCAGAGGTACCACGTACGAGTTCCGTCTTTATATCTTGTGATTACATAGTATGAGAAAATTGTTCATAAGTCTCAAGTAAGAAGATTAAATACAAGTAAGTTTTTGAGTTTTATTTAAGGGTTAAGATGCATTTAGCATTATGAAATATTTTCTCAAATATATCGAACAACCCAAAATATTTTGTGATGCATCCAGCACCTCAAAATATTTTTTAAGTGCGGTCGGCACCTTGAAGTATTTTTTTTTTTGCATGATAATAGATACATCAAAAAATATTTTTAAGTGCTGAACGTATTTAAAAAATGCTTTGATGTGCTGGATATACTAAAAAATACTTTATAGTACTGGATATACTTTAAAAAATATTTCAAAATGGTGGATGCATTATAAAATACTTTAGCACCCGAGAAAAAACTTGAGGGTGCTGAATTTATGTTAACCATTTATTTAATACTAATAGGTCTCAAACAAATTAATATCTATAAGATTGATTCCTAAATGACACGACTCAACTTGTGAACATGATAGTTTGATTTTAAAATATTAAATATCTCGAAATTAATAAGTATTAAATGAAATTTGGACGATCTATTTCTAATTAATTTTCTTTTCTAAGTCTTAAAGACAATTTTTTCTAATATTTAATTTTTTAGATTCATCCCAAAAATACGAGAGGAAAATTAGAGTAAAAGACTTGTATGAGCTATGTAATATAGTCCACATAATTTGTCATTTATATATTATAATCTTCCCAAGTAATATTGCTAAATCTTTAGAATGAATGCTCTTTAAAAAGAACCTTCACCAAAAAGGGATATTTTACGTCTAATGGATGGGAATATAAATGGGAGTAGTGATGAAAGAAATCAGCAGCATTTAGTGATAAAATTAAAATACTCTTCCAGTTCTAAATATAAGATCCTTATACATATTTAGGATGGGAGGAGTATATTGTTTTGAAATATAAATGACATGAACTCTAGAAGACCCGGTGCTAGCGAGCGTGATGCACAGTTTACTTATGGGAAAAATACTGAAATATATTATACCCTTGACCAGAATAAATTTAAATGAAAATCAGATTGCTACAGATTCTCAAGCTCATTTTGAAAGAGACAGGTAGATATATGAAATAGAATTTTATTCACTAATCAAGCGATATAATAGCTGTTTTTTCAAAACTTAATACTTGGGCAGTAGCTAAGCCCTAAACTGCATCATTTATTGAATGTGGAGGAAAAGAGGAAAGTCGGAAACTGCAAAATCGGCATTAAAGGTGATCGATCATGTTCATGAATGCACAGATAGTACTTTAAAGGACTTTGCAATTTCATTGGGAAATGATATGTTCCTCAAACCAGCAACTTCTTACCCGCTCTCACCTTTTCATTTGCCTCTCTGATCTGAACTCTGTAATTAAATAATGAGATGTGATGTCTCCTCAATAAATAAAATCAAAGGAGGCCAAGAGAAAAATAAAGCGTGCAAAGTGTACTTACTGGAAAAGGAATACTAAACATAAAAATGAGAAATTATCTAATCTTGAAGGAAAGATCACAAACAGACTTTGAAAGAGTTCCATTATTATGTCAAGGATAATCACAGCATTTCCTATATACCACACACTCTCATGAACAAATATTATATATACACTGCAAAAAAAAAAATTCAATTTAAATAGTACGCCACTAATTTAATTTTCCATTGGCTAAACAGTAAAAATTCTGTGGCTATGGCAGTGTATTAATTGAATTTTCCAGGATCGTTCCATTCGCTTCTTTATTATATACAGATATGAAGTGGGCTGAAACGTTGGCACCGAAATGATGGAGTAAAAGCAGTTCATGACGTAGTGGATATGTTTTGAGCAAATAATGAAGATATACTCATTTACTGCACGGAATAATTGAGTTGCCTTGCCCTGCGTGGAACTTTTAATCTGAGCATACATAAATTTCAAATAGTATTTTGTTCTTTTGCATTATATGAAATTATGTTGAATAAATTGTAGTGTTTTGATTTGTAGATAATGTGAGCTGTGGTGAAAATTCTATTACATATATATTGTTATATTAACTAATAATAACATACTCAACTCATAAGTCATTTTTAACGTGTTTAATGGGAATCAAGAAAATCTTCAACCTCATTGATTTTGTTTTAAAATTTAATAATGTTTAAGTTTTACTCCTATTTAACACATATTTTTTAAGAAAATAACAGTCTGTACAATAATAAATGAAGGTATTTTTTAAAAAAAATGAGTGAATGATGTAATTGTACAATTATGTAAAACTTAAAAGATGTGACTTATTATAAATAAGGCAAAAAAATTCCCCCCCTAACTTATAAATAAAATTAGAGGAATGTTGATTAACCGCAAATAAAGAGGGAAAACACAACTATCTAACCAGTATTAGCCAGTCATATTCAAATATTATTGAGGTAAACTAAAGTGTAACTTCCTCAACGTGATTCTTTTTTATTTAGAATTTTCATACACTAAATTTCATTTAATTTAGCAGGGTAGAAATATATGTTGTTATTACCAGCATATATCTCAACCCTATCCACAAAGAGTTTCTCAATAGTTATTTTCCCTCAAAGATTAACATTTTTTCAGCCAACCTTTAAAGACCCAAATTTTTTTTAGAGCAGTCTTTCTCATTATTATTGTTATTATTCACCTCAAACAATGCGGATTCATGGTGTGTCTATCGGAGACCTATCATCTTGGTTCTCAACAAATCTTAAACCAATACTTCCATTAATTAATTCAATAGTAATTCTGTAAATACATTAATTATTTTTATTATAACTCACTCACCCATCATAAAATCTCCTCTAAATACACTAACCTATTACTCCCATGACATAATTAAGTGAACGGTGCCCATATAGATACGTCCGTAACTCCGTATAAAACCTTGTAAAACAAAAATCTATCATACCTCTTGCTAATATTTGCTATCCTTTTTTCTTTTAATAACATTGAAAAAGGATGTATAAAAAATTATATGCAATTAAATTATAATAGTGAGATGGAAGCCAAAATACTAGCTAGTAATAATCATATTGCTAAGAATAATACATTAACCTATAATTCATATCCAACCATTATTGTTTAATTAGTTATATATTGTAATAACTTGTGTCTTCTATCAAGAGGACTTATAATTAAATGTTATGTAAATAAAACTTAACTATATACTGACATTTTCCCCAACAATACCTGTTCCAATCAAACAGATCCAACAAGCCACGAACGTACGGAAACCACACAATAGTGATCGATGAAATAAATGATCAAACACCCAAAATGTAATTACCACTCTTCTCCGGAAGGAATCACAATTAACAACTACCAGTACCAGATAGTTAGTTGTTAGGTGTTTGCTAATTACTGCCAATATATTACTTGTACTACGTACTCATCAGTAGTCCGTTGCATGATGTTATATATGAACCCCGAGAAAGTCTCTTGTAATTCTCCTCAAAGAAAAATAAATATTTTCTCAAAAAAAGTGGGATAACAAATATGACTCAAGAGTCTGGTGTTCACATACAACACGTCAGAGTTGATCTACAGATCAAATCTGAATAATCATATGTATGACCAGAGACTACATTGATTTTTTTTTTTTCTCCTATGGCGCAAAGATCAGGAAACACAAAATAAATAAGAGATAATAATAATTCTGGCGAGTAAAAGCAGTGAAGAAGTATGACAGATCATCATCATCATCAGCAACTACAATTGCAGTGAGGCCAACGAACAATCAACCCCGTTCTTCTTGAACTTTGGTTGCCTAGAGCTTAACGATCTCAGGAATATGAACTGGGTACCGATCAATGCAATCTGCCCAGGGACTATCCTCAATCGGCGTCTTGATTGTTCTGTTACATTTCCACACCGCACTGTTACACTTAAATCCACTTCCGAACGCTATCTGCCACACTCTTTCTCCTTTCTTCATCCTTCCCTTCGATTCTATGTAATTCAGTTCGTACCACAGCGACGACGACGATGTATTTCCGAACCGGTGAAGTGTCATCCTCGACGCCTCCACGTGCTCCGCCGAAAGCTGTAGATTCTTCTGCAACTCATCGATCACCGCCCTACCTCCGGCGTGGATGCAGAAATGCTCGAACGCTTGCTTGAAGTCTGGGATATATGGCTTCCACTTGGGGTTAAAGATTTTCCTTCCGATCAGAGTCAAGAGGAAAAGGAGCTGCTCCGACGCCGGAAGAACCAACGGCCCCATCGTCGTTATGTTCGACTTCAGTGCTTCTCCTGCTATGGCCATCAGATCCTTGGAGAGAGAAATCCCGACCTTTCCTTCTTTGTCCTCTTCTTCAAACACGCACCGGTACGCCTTGTCATCGCCTCCTTTGTGCGTCCGTACAACGTGGATCAATCTGTACTTGGCTCGCCGGCGCTCGGACCCGCGGTTCGTTAGGAGGATCGCTGCGCCGCCCATTCGGAAAAGACAGTTGGGGAGAAGCATGGCTCTCTCGTTGCCTTGGTAATAATTAGGGGTAATAATTTCGGTGCTCACGACCACAGCATTTGAATTTGGATGAACTTGAAGAAGATCGCGAGCTAAGTCGATTGAAATCAGCCCCGCGCTACAGCCCATGCCGGAGAGATTGAAACTCTTGATGTTGCTTCTGAGTTTGTATTTGTTTATAATCATGGCGGACAGAGAAGGGGTGGGAGAGAAGAGGCTGCAGTTCACTATGAGGATGTCTATGTCTTTGGGTTTGAGCCCGGTCTTTCTGAAGAGAGAATCCATGGCGGAGAAAATGACCAGCTCGGCCTCCGCTCTGGCAGCTTCCATGGTAGGTTTTGGAGGAATATAGTGAATCGCCGGAGGCAAGCAGGTTTCTTCTCCGAGTCCAGAACGCTCAAGAATCCTCATCTGGAAGTCGACGGACTTAGGGTTGCTCCTGAGGATGAGTCTGGAATGTTCCATGAAGGTAGAGAAAGGGACACGGCACGTGACGGGGGGCTTGAAGCAGGAATAATCGACGAGGTATATGGTACGAGGCTTGGACATGAAATAGAGAGTGGCCATGAAGATGATGAGGAAAGCGGAACAGAGAATCTGAACGAGGTCGAAGTGGAGAGATTTCCAGAGGTTCAAAATCTCGGAAGGGCCCAAACGTAAGACCTCGATAAAGATGGCGACCATGATAGGGATGAGAGTGAGGGTGATAATGTGGTTAACTAAGTACTGGTAACCTAGTTTGACGTACTTGAGCTTGACGGAGCTGGAGAATTCCGGCAACATAGGAGGCATGTTGTTTGCGGCCTGGTCTGGTTGTTTTGTTGAGATGGAGAATTGGAGATTATGGGAAGGAAAATATGTGGGTTATGGCGATGCAGAGGAAGGTATTGATGATATCCAGTGAGGAGGGGAGGAGGTTGAGGTTTTAAAGGCAATGGGGGCCAATGCAATGAAGATGGCAGATGAAGAGATTTAATGATGCCTTCCACGTCACTCAACGCTCGTCCTCCATGCTGGACAAAAAAGTTTCACTGTGTTACCAAAAAAAAAATCCCTCAGCTTTACATAATTAACAGTCTTGATCTTTAAATGTCAAAAATATGGACAAAGTAAGTTAAACTGAACAAGGTGTAACTCCGCCAATACGGGAATGGGATGGCTTGATTAGTGGTTAAGTTTCAGCTCACTGCCTTCCATCTTATTTATATATTTAAGTTACTTGGATGAGAGGTTGTGTGGTCCTTTTTTTTTATTTTATTTAACAAGGCATCACATTAATTATTTATTACAATTTTCTACTTTTATTCTTATTTAACATTAAATAAGAAAGGGTTAAAGTGCAAAAATATTCATCAACTTTTTTCAATTATGCCTAACACCACCGTATACTTTTTCGTGGTGCAAAAATACCTACGAATGTTGAAAGAGAGGGCAAAAATAATGTTGCGGTTAAATTAGCTTAACTGCCGTTACTTATTGTGATAGCCCTGTGCTATTTGTCCAGATCTAATGTGTTCTAGTATAAAAGTACCAAAATATCCCTTTTGAAAAAAAAAAAAACAAGGCCCCTCTCTCCCCCTACCGATTTATCCTTTGCTCCAGTTTTCAAAAATTAATCAACAATCCATTGACAGTTTAAAACAATCTATCAACCAAATGTTCATCAACCATCTATCAACAATGAAAAAGAGGAGCAACCTTACGATGAAGAGTTTGAAACTCAGTAGAGAATAAAAGGAGCAATCTCGGAAAGCACCAAACAAGCTACTGAAGCAAAAATTAACTGAGGAAGCAGGGAAGAACGACATTAAAGTGGCAACCCAAGACTGTGAAACTCAGAGCCAAAATTCCTTCTCGTTATTTTCAGTGAACCGACCAGCTTCAGCGAAAAAAGGATATGAGACCCTTTATTTTAGCAAGATCACGACTTATCCTGAACACAAGTTTGAATGAGAGCTCGCAAGTTTGACGATGAAGGATGCGGTTGATGCTATGTGCGACGGCCTGGAGGAAGAGCTCACCGACAGCGACGATGGACTCCGAGATCAATAACGACGATGTCCCCGTCTCACTCATCACTGCCTCCCCACAATCTAACAGACTGTAGTAGATCCATGGACGATGAGATCAACAATAGGTTACTATTAGTAGGATGCAACTTTACAGGTTGAGGGAGGAAGAGAGGAAGGAGACGGAGTATGACAGGGGATGCTAAGGCGAGACGGTGGCCGGCAATGAAGTCAGCAAGGAAGAAGGAGAGGTTACGGTACGGTTGCGGCGTGACTGTGAGGGAGATGAGGATGGGTCATGATTTACAGATGGGCGTGGGTTGGGAATTTTAATTTTTTAAAAATAATAATTCTCCTATTCTTAACATAACACCTATTTAACTAATTTGATTAGATTAAGGAAGTTAGGTAAGTTAGTTAATTATAAGAAATATGACATGTTTTTTCTAAAATACCATAGTCATCTTTCTTAATATCCCAACTTCTTCTTCTACTTGATTATGGTTGAGAGAGTATCCATAAAGATAATTTAAAAAAAATTGATAATATGATAAATGAGTCTTATATTTAGAACCAAAACCAACTCAATAATTAAGTCCTATATTAATTAAGAACCGGAGGAGTAAATTAATTTCATTTTTCCCTCCCAGCCAGCTCGGACATTACCATGACCACATAGGTTCCCATGTCAGCATTTTGAGTCAAGAAGTTTTCTTTAACAGTCAACGTGAGACAATTTAACAGCAATGCTATTTTTGCTCACTTTTTCAATGTTTATGGGTATTTTTATACCTCAAAAAATATACTCATCTTGTCTTTAATATAGGACCTAATTATTGAGTTGGTTTTAGTCCTAAATATAAGACCTATTTCTCATATTTATCAATTTTCTCTAAATTACCCATATGAATACTCCCTCAACCATAATCAAATAGAAGAGGAGGTATTAAAAAAGATAATTATAGTATTTTAAGAAAAATGTGTCACATTTCTTATAATTAACTAACTTACCTAACTTTCTAAATCTAATCAAATTAGTTAAATGAGTTTTATACTAAGGATTAGAGGAGTATCTTATTAAACACACTTTAAAAAAATTAATAAGTATTTTTACACCTTAACCCAATAGAAAAATATAAAACTTTTCAAAGATGTGTTTAAAATTGACAAGGCAGGAAACTTTTTTAATTTTTAGATAAAATCAATGAGTTTCAAGGTTTTTGTTACTTTTGTCAGTAAAAAGCATGGAGAAGAAACGTGTAAATCGGTCCAAATAACTAGGATAAGCAATGTTTTTTTTGTCCAAAAGACAAGTACTTTTCTTGCAACATTTTCCATTCCGAAATGTAAATAATATTTGATGGTATCTAGGACACATTTTTTTTCCTAATTTACCCTATGTAAGTTAAATATGAGAAAGTTAATTTTTCAGAAATTGTGTACCCTCCTACGGATATAGTAAAATATAAGGATAATTTTAGAAATTGTTTTTAAGCAGATTTAATGTGTTAACTTCATCTTAATAATTCTTTTCCTTAGTGATCTTTATAGTTAGGTTTTATGCTTTGAATAGGTGCGACGTGAGAGTAATGCGTTAAATTCTTCTGAGGAAATTAAACTCCATGTTTGCATTATATACTCTCTTCAGTCTAAAATATAGGATACTTTTAACAACCATTGTAATCCTTATTATAAGATACTTTTAATTACTTCACTAGCATAGGAGCATCAAAGAGATATGATTAATACTTTAAATTTGATTGAAAATAAAAGCTTTTAAATTTATCTTTATTTATGCAAATACCTCATAATAAGAAATGAAGCGGTAGTTCGCAAAGACTTAAAAAAGTAATTAAAAGTAGTCATTTATATCGTTCCATCCAAAATAAATAATTTATATCGTTAAAAATGGTTTTAAAAAATTATAACTAAGTTTTAAGATTAGCTTCTATCTAAAATCAATTTGTCTTAATCACCTTTAGTTTCTTTTTATATAACCTCTCCCTACAATTTTAATAAAATAAAATAAAAGAATCTGTACCAACATTAGCGGGTAGAAAATATCATATACGTTATGGGTAGGAGGGAGTAAGATAGAAAGCCTTACCGGTTGGCTCTATTAATTGTGACATGGCTTGTTTACTAGCTTGATGTGATGAGCTTACGCTACCTCATCATTAAAACCGGATTTAAGATTGCCATGTTTGTGCCCTGAGGATATAAAGTTGAGTTGCTGGCATAAAAGCGAGGTATCAAAAAGTGCAGCATTTTATCGATAACTCAACCGAGTAAATATCTCTATGCAGAATATAAAGGAGATAGGGATCACATTTTGTCAGGTTTGTTTAATTAATGGGGTTTGTGGGGATATTAATTAGCTTCACAATTTAGGGCACGACGTACGACCCCCGTAAGAGAAATGGTCTACACTCTACCATCCCATATATCCTCGCTCTAACATTGAAATTATCTTATTAATTACTCTTCCGATTCAAAATATCAAAAGACTTTATCTATTTATGTTTATCAAAAAAACTAATTAAAATCAAGTGAAAATAATAAATATGTAATGCATATATATATATATTTAAAATATGTCTTTATTAATAAAAAGAATAAGTAAAAAATGTAATAAATAAATCAAAGAGAAAAGAAAATATATAAGATAAAATTAGAAAGAAAAAAAAACCTATTAAATGTGTAGACTCCTCTAACAAAATTTAGCTTATATTTTGAACTAGAAGGAGTATTATAATTTTTTTAAAAAAATTAATCTCTAGCTTTGTCCTTCTTTTCTGAGTTTGACGTTGTAATGATGTTATTAATAATACCCACTTTTTTCTGTTTTCTTTATTTAATATAATTATCTTTTCCCCCTAGTTTATTTTTTTTTTGTCATTCCTCATTAATATGAAGGAATTCATACATCTAACATAGCGTACACAACCTCACATTTAAATATGATTTAACGAAATGTTTAGCACCGATTAAAAAGGGATTATCTTTAATCTTTGCCAAAGCTAAGTACTCTTCCGGTCCTAATTATAAGACCCAATTGACTTATTTGAGGAAATTAAGGAAGTAAGTTAAGTTGGTTATTTATAATAAATAAGTGTTGTCATTCCTAAAATATCCTTGCTAATTAAGTATATTGGCTAAAACTATCATTATTAGAAGGATTATCTTGGAAAAAAATGCATAAATATAAGAGATAAAATGGATTGGGGTCTTATAATTAGGACCAAATAAAAAGTCAAATGGGGTCTTATAATAAGGACCGGAGGAGTATATTCTTATTACCTAAACTAGCTCCAATTCCCAAGCTCCGATGGGCAGAGGACTGGCGGCTTTGTTTTTCTTTTTTAAGAATTTTTTTAACATCCACAATAACAATATTTATAATTCTATATCAGTGCCATTCTAATGTGTTTTTTAAAGTTTTAAACTGAGATTTGTTTTTCAATGTAGAAATTACAACAGAACTAATGCTCTTCCAGTCTTTAACATAAAACCTAGTTATTGAGTTAATTTTTGTGTTAAATATAAGACATATTTCTCATATTTATCAAGTTTTCCTAAATTACCCCTATGGATACTCCCTCAACCATAATCAAGTAAAAGAGGGAGGGAGGATATTAAGAAAGATAATTATAATCTTTTAGGAAAAAACATGTCATATTTTTTATAATTAACTAATTTACCTAACTTCTTTAAGATAATCAAATTAGTTAAATACTGCCTCCGATCTTTAATATAAGATCTTGTTTGACTTTTATTTTGGTCCTAAATATAAGACCCCAATTTATTTTGTCTCTCATATTTATATTTTTTTTTCAAGATAGTTCTCCTAACAATGACAGTTATAACCAATATACTTAATTAGTAAGGATATTT